ATATACTGTGAGTGTGTGTGTCTGTGATTCCCATTTCATGGGCCTATACCTTCCTGCAACTCCTTTAAAAAGAGTGTGTGTGTGTGTGAGAGGGAGTGTGGCCAGAACAGTGAGTCTACGAGAGGATTCCAGATGTGTCGCTGTAATCTGGCCAAACTCCTTCTACCGACTCCAGCCGAATCCAAACATCTGCCTCAGAGCGTCAGTCTTCTTCTGGAGGATGTGCTCGTGGAGTTTTATGAGTAAAACATATGGACTGTAGGTTTTTTTCAAGGTGTGTGTGTACGGCTGTGCACGCGTGTGTTTCAGCTACACTGCCAGGTCATCCGGGCGAGCTCGGGCGCAGCCGCTCTTGCCGGCCCGACTTGGCTTCCGAATGTCTGTCGCCGCAGCACATGGAGGCTGATGCATCTCCGCCCTGGTGACCACGGTGAAGTCGTCGTGCGGGACCATCCAAGGTGCTGTGGCGACAGTGTTTTCCTCGTCCAGCGGCCTCTCCTGCACCATGAGGGGGTACAGAGGGGTATTGCGAGGAAGCGTGGGACACATGGAGTGTTGCTCCTGTGGGGTCATCTCCCCCTGAGGGGAGGAGGAGGCCGAGGTGGGAGGAGATGGAGGAGGAGGAGGGTAGAAGAAGTCTTTTCCATTCAGATTCTGCAGCTCCAGTGCCATGTTGCTCCAGTTCTGCTCCATCGCCCTCAGCTGCCCGCCGCTTCCAACGCTCACCGTGTCTCCATTGCCATAAAAGGAAGTGGGCAGCCTCTCCAACAGGAAGTCATCTGGGTGGAACGGGGCGCCATCCATCTTGAGCTCGGCCGGCACAGATTCGGCGGCCATGTTTGGGTTCAAACCTGTGGAGGCTTCTTCTGTTGGACGGTAGGCTCCTCCCGCAGCTGCTCCGCCCCCCGCCGCTCCCACACTGGTGTACGCCGACACACACTCGAGCACCGACGGCGAGGTCTGCCCAGGTATCGTCTCTGCGTGTCCGCGCTCGCCCGCACACAGCAGCAGCGACTCGCTGTCGGACACAAACTCGTTGGTGACGCCCTGCTTGACCTTCTTCCAGCCCAGGTGGTAGATCTCCAGCAGGTTGAGGAGCAGAGAGACGCAGGCGACCACCAGCATGAAGATGATGAAGATGGTCTTCTCAGTGGGCCTGGGACGAGAAACAGAAACATAGATTTAACTCACACGTTGACCTAAGACCCAAGAGGAGTCCTGTGATAAACTCACCTGGAGATGAAGCAGTCCACAGTATTGGGGCAGGGCCAGCGGCCACATTTGTAGAGCGGCCTCAGGTGGAAGCCGTACAGGAAGTACTGTCCCAGGATGAAGCCCACCTCAAACAGAGTTTTGAAGATGATGTTGAAGATGTACGTCCTCAGTAACGCCCCGCGGATCCTGATCTTCCCGTGCTCATCACGAATCGGTGGCTTCTCCTTTTTCCCACCTCCTCCATCACCCACTCCGTTGTGATAGAGGTTGTCATGGTCCTCCTGGTGTTGTCCGGCCTTCCTGACCTCCTCCTCCCTCTCCCTCCTCTTCTCCTCCATGCGGACGATGTGCAGCACATGCCCCAGGTAAATGAGCGTGGGCGTCGAGACGAAGATGATCTGCAGCACCCAGAAGCGGATGTGGGAGATGGGAAAGGCCTCGTCGTAGCAGACGTTCTCGCAACCGGGCTGCTGAGTGTTACAGGTGAAGTCCGACTGCTCGTCTCCCCAAACCTCTTCTGCCGCTGCGCCCAGCACCAAGATACGAAAGATGAAGAGGACGGTCAGCCAAACCTGGGTGAGGAAGATGGAGGGATTGAGATTCATGAGCTCACCGAAGCTTGTTTGCATCACGTTTGACCATCACTCACCTTTCCGATCACAGTGGAGTGTTCTTGAGCGTTCTCCAGCAGCCGCCCTAGAAAGCTCCAGTCACCCATGCTTCACTCGAGTTTCTAGCCTGCAGAGAGAGAGGAGAGGCGGTGGTGAACAGCGGAGGAGGTCCCTGTGAGGAGGGAGAAGACTGAAACATGGAGGAGGTGACACAACTACAAGTGGACAGCAAAGACCTGCAGATTTACCAAAATATTGTTGTGTCGTCAGTGATAAATCCATCGACCAGAGATCAGAAGAAAATCAATATCTGGAGGAGAGAGATCACAAAATAAATATTCACATTTCACGTCTATTAATTTAATCTCACTACTTCATGTCATTAATCCTCGAAAATACTCAAATCAACCCGAGTTGACAAGAATAAAGTCTGTGTCACTCTTACATTAGTCTGGAGAAAGAGGAAAGAAAAGGTCACCTTCACCCCATCCTCCTCCTCCCCTCATCCCCACATGCATCCCTCCTTCCCTCACCTCCTCCCTCACTCCTTCATCCTCTCTTCCCTCCCTCCTCTTCTTCTTCAGTCTGGTGTCTCCATGTTTAATTCTGGTGAACTGACACCTGAGACAGAACCTCCACAACTTATCACTTTCCATTCAAACCTTTCGATCTCAAATATTTGGGGCGTGGTCCGACAGTAAACACAGCGCTGACATAACTTTTAACTTGATATTCCAAACCTGCTGCCATTTGTGCAAGGAGAGGTGGATATGTGCCTGCGTCTTCATTTATATGTGTACATTTACATGCAGACGTGCACATATTCGTGTGTGTGTGTGTGTGTGTGTGTGTGTGTGTGCGCTGCAGGGTCGGCTGGCTGTGAACACAAAGGTTTGTGATCTGTGGGAAGTGAATGAGTGGATAACAGGTTGTGCCTGTCGAATGCTGGACTCATCACATCCCAGGAATGCTGAGGAGGGCAAATGTTTGCCTGGGATCAACTGATCACACACACACTCACACACACACACACACACACACACACACACACACACACACACACACACACACACACACAGNCACACACACACACACACACACAGTTACAGTAGCACAGATTGATCCTCAGCCACCAAACTGCCTTCAAAACAAGAGCATTCACATATAATAGAAAAATACCAGCTCCCTTTAGAAGCACAACAATAAAACCAAACAGTTTAATTCCATCAGGGTCTAATGAAACTTTTTTCATGACCCTGTTGATACAGTAACATCCCTCATTAAATAATGTATACGATCTTTGCCAAAGCAGTCTACACAGAAACACTGAAACGTGGAAAGAACACAAACTACAGCTCAGCTAACGAAGAGACAAATCAACTGACGCCTCCATCTACTGTAACTGTGGCATGTGCACATGTACATGGTGTGTTGACGGGATGAAATACCGTCTGTCACCACAGACAATAGAGAAGCTGCCAGATGGATGTTGTCCTGGCCGGCCCGTGCTTCTCATGGATCAGAGGTCTTTGTGCTAAAACTGACCAAATAGTTCACGTTCGGCCGGACGCTTGCAACCGAACGCTTTTTAAGATGCGCAGAGAGTGGAGCAGTGTTCGTGTGAAAGTCCAGTCTGTTCATTTTCCCACTGAATCACATCCAGAAACATTTTAAATCAGTTATTTTAACCAGCTCCAGCTCACACACTTCATGTCAACACAATATGATGCAGAATGTCCAGATGCAGTGGATGAAAGTTATATGAAAGATATAAAGTGAGGAGAGGTTGTGTGATACGAGGAAGTAGCGTGAACATACAGAAACCTGTGTAATGGTGCTTTAAATCATTTCTTTAAATAACATATCGATAGATAACTGTGCAGCGATGAGTTAAAGGATGAGAGAATAAAGTTGTGCGATGTAATAAAATGTTTAACAACATGCATTCACTACATTGGAAAATGTATAATGTTGCATGACTAAACTTTTATATGACGTTCAATGTAATTTTTACTCTTAATGGCAACTTTTTTACATGTAAATTACATTTTATACACATGATACACTTCATGTAGAAATTAAACTTAAAGTTAACAAGTTATATTAGCACAGTTGCTATGTTGCCATCTTTAAGTTGGTCGCATTATTTTCTTTTCTCACACTTACAAAAATATTTCGATTGTTAACGTGCAAATAAAAGAGTCATGTTTAACAAAAGTTAGCAATAGTGTTGATACAACTTGTAAACTCTAAGATTAACAAAATCAATTGGTTATACAATTTAATTTGAATTAAATGTAGCAGTAGAGTTAATGGAACTCGTTAAGTTGAACACATATGGATCAATATGTTGATATATTAAGTGAACTTTGATGGAAAGTATCTATTTAACTTATCTTATGCACTTCAGGTTGTTACTCATCAACAGCGACTGGTGCAGAAAAGCTCTTGAGGCCAATCAACAGTGTTTAAATGATCGTTTAGGTTTGAAATGTGTTTTAAATGCTGGAGGAAGAAAAGTCTCAAGATTCATTCATGTCAAATATTCCATGCAGCCTACTTCATCAGCCTTAGTGGCCTCCTGTCCTCCTTTTTTCCCACGGGGTCAGGACGCATCATGTGAGGTGCTGATAATCCAGCAGGTGGAAGGATGATAATCCCTCCTCTTCCCTCCCTCATCACTCCATCCTCCTCCTCCTCCTCCTTCTCCTGATGATGCTGCTGCCTCTTACCCCTCTCCTCCTCTGGACCACGGCTCCCTCCACTTCTCTTCCTCCACTGCTTCTCTCCTTCTTTCTCTCCTCTGTCTCTTTGTTAACTCCCACCCGTGGGCTCCAGGCGACTAAAAGTGAGGAGTGGGTGAGATTAGTGTGAGAGGGAGGGAGAGGGAGAGGGAGAGGGAGAGAGAGAGAGAGAGAGAGAGAGAGAGAGAGAGAGAGAGAGA